AGAGACTGCTCTTGCTGAATTCTTAACTTCTCCATGTCGTCTCTTAAGCGTAACTCTCTCTGTTCCGCTTCTCTTGTCATTCGCGACAAGTTCTTCGCTATATGCTCGTCCGTTCTTTCTTTCAAGCGTTTTTCGCTCCTACCAACTTCTTGTCTATTGCGGTTTATTTCTTCCCGCAGACTTTCTCTTTCAATGTGAACTGCTCTTTCTAGTTCACTCATTCTTAAGGACATCTGTTCATTTTGATCTCCTAAACTGTCCACTATGTTGTTCAAGGCTTCTTCTAGTGCTGCCCCGTTATCCACGAGTGGTGTCACTAGTGGCGGTGTAACCCTGTCGGTCCCAGGTAGCTTCGTGCTGGTCGAGATTCGGGCCTTGACTCTCTGCCTCGACGTCTTTTCATTATCCACCTCAGGACCCGCCAATGCGTTGCCTAGCCCTCTGTTTCTACTCTCCCCATATTGACCTCCACTTCTAACATTTCTTTTCTCTCTTCTGAGGTCTTCTGACTCCTCGTTTCAACCATTCTGCCTGAAACCGTCTCCCCTTTGTCGGTCCGGGCTCGTTTCATCCAATCCACAAAAGGGTCGGTCATTGTTTTTCTTTGCTTTTTAGGTATGAATTTCCTAGAGCTATTACCTCGTTTAGGTATCCTTGACTTGTCCACGAATCCCTGTATGTTATCAGAGTACAGTTTGTATATAATTTATTCACACTAACCGATTATTGGTCGTAAGATTTGAGAACTAGCACAATATGATGTTATCAGTCAATTTAAAAGATAGTGTACTCACTACCCAATCAAGCACAAATTATGTTGATTTAAAATCGAAAACAAAAAAATATGTAATGACAGAATATGAATACCTCTATAAAAAAACGTATGTGTATTGTACTTTTAGTCGGTCGCAGTACAATAGTCGAACTTGTTTTTTAAAGAAAAAGCTTTCCCTGCTCGGTGCTGCACCAAACACACAAAACCTTGTTTGCAGTAATTTTCTCAAGTGGGCGTCTATTGCACCCACCGAGTACTGTGTTACCTATCTGCCTTCGGACTGCCCGAGCTAGACCTACTACAATCCTCAGGGCAGTCACTTTTCACAAAAACGTATTGGATTTCAATCCACACCAATGAATTACGCTCTTTTTAGTTTAGACTTAGTGTCGCGAATATCCGAGTTCGGACCTATTTTGTTTTGGTCTGGTTTTTATTGCAAGGCAAGTTACCAGTGCAGTCACTGATTCCTAGCCTGTCTGCTAATAACCTAATACCTCTCACTTTAGTCTTTCTTCCGTTTACCTAAGTCCTTTAATAAAAAAATACCCCTCCGGATTGGAAAAAAAGGACCCTTCCGGACTAACAAAATTTAGACCCCTCTGGATTGAAACCCCTGTGAGTTAGTAAGTATAAGACCCCTCCGGATTGGGACACCTCTGAATTAGCAAATATAGCTTTTCGGAGATTTCCTTCTTTCAACCTATACCCCTCCGGATACAATCTCCGATGCAATTTTGCTTTCTCAATTAACTAGGAAGGGTATGTAATGCTTTCCTAGACCCTTCCGGCTTGAAGTTAAGCCTCTTATTTGACAATTCACGCTAACGGTGAAGGGTCTGATCGCTAGCCTAACTTCGGTTCGATTAAGGTTTTCCTGTCCCTTTAGCCTTCCCTTTTCGTCTAGAACAGCCTAAAAATACTTTATTCAACCGCTGTTACCTTTTGGTCTGAGTGTAAGAGCTTTTCTGAAAAAATTTATAAAACGTGAAGTGTCTACCCTCCCAAATTGGTGAATTTGCTAAAAACAATCTCAAAAACTTTTCACGCTTACTTTTTCGAAAAACTTTTCACGCTTACTTTTTGTCCCTATCAGTAAGCTCAGCTAATTACTGATCTATTGATACTAAGATCAACTCGATATGCCCAGTAGTTCCAAAGTTATTAACCAAAACGTTATTAACCAAAGTTATTAACCAAAAAATTTATAAAACGTGAAGTGTCTACCCTCCCAAATTGGTGAATTTGCTAAAAACAATCTCAAAAACTTTTCACGCTTACTTTTTCGAAAAACTTTTCACGCTTACTTTTTGTCCCTATCAGTAAGCTCAGCTAATTTTTGATCTGTTGATACTAAGATCAACTCGATTTGCCCAGTAGTTCCAAAGTTATTAACCAAAACGTCTTTTTTCTAAAGTCAAAAAAATTTGTCTCTTAAAGGTTCCGCCTAACTTTTTCCGCAATTCTGGTCCTTTTGACCTAAAAATTATTGATCCGAGCTCAGGAGGCCTATACTTTTTTAGTTCAATGCAAAAGACCCGATCTAAAACGCTTTAGTTGAAATTTTGCGAAAAACTATGCTGCCCTGTACCCCTCCGGATTGATGAATCCACCAAATCAAACACGTTAAGTTCGATTTCTCTGTAACCCGGAAGGCTTTCGGGTAGCGGGTTTTAAAACTTGTAGATTCACTAGTGGACGTTGTCCGAACAACTATTTTTACTGTTCTAACTCAAAAATTTCAAAAAAATTTTCTGAATTTATAGTGTTTCGTTTTCTCAAAAATCACGAAATTTCGGTTTTCGGTATCAAAATAGTTCCAACCACCTTCGAACTAAACTTAACCGGTTCTATCTATTATGGTAGTGCAGTTACGATGTAACACGCTACTTTAGTGCTCTTTTCCTTTCAAAAAATATCGATATCTCAAAAATCGCGACTTGTGGGGGGATCAAAATATCGCTATTTTGACCCTAAAAACCGGTCTGCTTTCTGTGATTTTCACTAAAAAACGATATAGGAGTATTAATATAGGCTATATAAGTAATAATATTAGTAATACTATACCCCTCCGGGTTTGTTTAATATCCGAATTAAGGTGCTTAACTCGGATATTCGCAGTTCGGTGAAGGGTCACTACAGTGCAGCACTGTCGGGCCCCCCACAGATTACTATCTTACTTTTTGTACCAAAAGGGATACAAAACTTGTTAACGATACCCAACAGTCGATTGTTGTTGTCCTTGAGCCCCTTCTTGTCGATCCTTGCACTGCATGCCGGATCAGTCTTCTTCTCTAATCCCGAGACCCTTATCATTAACGTGCTTAAATGCTCAAATAACCCTACAGTACAAGCCTCACAAACGGGCTACAAACTTGATCGTAGCAATCCTGACTGATATAAATGCCTGTAACAACAATATATCTATCAACAAGAAACGAGAGGGTCGGATCACATCTTGTCTGGGGTGATGATTTCTACTGATTTTTTACTTTTTACTGTTTTTGGTTTTTTCGGTAATTTTTTTTTTTCTTGGGTACTATACTACTTTTTTTTTGGTTTTATATATATCTTTAAGTGTTTTTGGTCACAAACCTCTCAGGGAACGACGGGACCGCGAATCCCTCCACCCTTCCTTGTTCGTGAATTTTCGGTCTTAACTAGGTTAAAAAGCTATTCACGGTAATCCGGAAGGCTTCCGCGTTCCGAACTACCCTTCCGCCCCGGCGGTTTAGGCCTAATAAGGGCGTTAATGTGAGCATCCGCTCGGCGCGGAGTGCTCGTTAACGGTTCTGCCGGTCATGATGTTAAAAAAGAATAACACCCAGGAGCGCCAAAAAACATCTATGTAACATTCGCCCGGAAGATACATATCGACGGAAAATAAAACTAAGTCCTAAGACGACTGGCCAACGTCTAAACAGAGCTTTTCATGCTTTTAACCGTCTCTACCAAGTCAGTACTTTCGGTGGTCTTTCTAACTTCGGGTCGACAAAAAACGTAACTGCTTTCGGCTTCGGTCAAAACACTCAAATTAACAAGATTACATGCAGAAATAGTGAGCTCATGGCTGGGTCTCAGTATCCCCAGACCACGAGGTCACTCCTAAAATCAGGGCTACTACTACTTATTGAATTATTATTGTTTTTGTTCAGTAGATAAAACTCATCATCTCCATCGAAGATGGATCAACCCTTTCCCCCAACTCCTAGCTTCTCATCCTAGCAAATTGAATTCAGATGTTAATTAAATTCAACTCAGGACATGACAGGGAAGCTTAAAGTTTTTATAAGTTAATAAAAGTTCCGGTCCCGAGACCCCTCCGGATTCCTGAATCCGGGGAAATAAGGCTCTTATCTTCCTTCCGGAAGGCTGGTTTTCCACCCTTCACCGTTGTTCGCAACGGTCTTGCAACTATTGTAGCGATACAATAGTTGCAACTCGGAGCGGTCTCTGCTACTTCTGCAATTCGTTGTTGTTTCTCAATCACAATCTCCGTTGTTAACGCTATCGCAACTAATGTTGTTGTGTTTCTCTTCCGGTTTTCTGCCAAAATGGCTGTTTCTGACGTTTCTCAGAAATATGACGTCATACTTCGAATTTTTAAAATTTCAAAATACCTGAATATCTTGACCTTCACCGTTTGACTAATGGTCCCAATAACGTCGTTAATCGCCTAAAACCGTCAATTCGGAAGGTTTGCTGCTAAATTTCCGAATCTGCTGAATCTGCATTTTGGTCCATTCTGGTCGAATGTCACACAATATAAGGAATAATAGGTAGAACGATCACAAAGTGCTTAAAAAGCGAACTTATGGTTCTCGGATCGAATTACCACATATGCCTTGGCCAAAAATGTGGCATCGAATGTAAATCATACGCTATAGAAATAGTGAGCTCATGGCTGGGTCTCAGTATCCCCAGACCACGAGGTCACTCCTAAAATCAGGGCTACTACTACTTATTGAATTATTATTGTTTTTGTTCAGTAGATAAAAATCATCATCTCCATCGAAGATGGATCAACCCTTTCCTCCAACTCCTAGCTTCTCATCCTAGCAAAATGAATTCAGATGTTAATTAAATTCAATTCAGGACATAATCATTTATTATGGATCATGATTGGTTAGTTCTAGGAATTATACAGAGTTAATTTATCAATGATAAAATTGGTTATAAATACTTGTTTTAAACTGGTTCCAAAAGGAACCTAATATATTTTTTTTAGTTTTGCGGTTGGAAATGAGGAATTTTTCAGAAGCTTCATGGTGACCTTTATACGCGTTAAAATTCAGAGCTTGCTGAGCAATTGGAGAAATTTAGAATATAAAGAAGACAGGGAATTAGAGCAACAAGCTGTCGTTCTTCTTGAGGATGGGCTCAATTTTCGTTCTATTCAGCACAATCTAAGCCTTGCTGCTCTAACATACTATCGGTTCTATAAAAAGCGTTTTGTGCAGTATTTCATCAATCTTCTAATTTTTATTTTACTTTTGATGATTTTCGCGGAGGAACCGTCTAGCATTTCTGTCACTAGTGACCCGACTTTAAAAGACGAAAATTCTTATGTTTACCAGTTACCTCAGAAATTAGCTGCAGCAATAGAGATAGTTTTGCTGCTGCTTCTATCGCTTGACATGGGAATCGAATATTACATCGAACGGTCTGGATCCGAGCGACGAAAATATTGGCTTCTTTTTCATTTGCTATTCGCATGTTTTTCTTTCATAGAAATACTTGTAAATGGGTTAACGCCAAATTATAATCTGATGTATCGAAAAATGCTAAGGCCCTTCTATTTAGTCCGTAGATCGACTTTGATAAAGAAAATGATCAAAGGACTTATCAGCTCAGTGCAGGAACTGGTAACTGTTTTGCGTAAGTTATTAGCTCCTGTTAATCAATCAGAAACGTTCAGTCATCGAAATGCAAACATGTCAAATCTAATAAGTGTTAATTACCCTTGCGATAAGCAAGGGTTTTGCAATCGGCTACAAGACTTTTTTTTCCCGTAATTAACTTTGTTAACAGTATGGTCAAAAATAGAAATGGTAAATTTGAACGTTCGCATTGAATTCAAGTTTTTTTGTTACTCCGGCACATTTGGCCTGGATGTAACAGATACGCTTAGGACGGCAATGGTCCTGGGTTTGAAACTGACAATACCTGTTTTTTTTAATGGGAAATGTTCCGTTTAGAAAAAAATTGTCGGCTTAATAATTGTCTGCTTAAGTTTTGTCGGCCTAGTTGCCATATCGTATAATTGTTTTTTTTGCTGTGCGCTTTTCACCTTGTAGTTGCTTGAATGTTCTGATTTACTTGTGCTGATAGCAGTTCCTTTTGTTTTTTTTTCGTTTAAAAACTTTATTATGTCTAATTGATTTTGGTTCATATTTTATCGGCTTAGTGACCTAAATTTGATCGATCCAGCGTTTTTTAGGCCTTCCGGCTGGTTTTTTCCCGGTGAAAATTTTAGCGCGTGGTTATTTTCTCTTGGAACGACAGTTTCTCGTAGCCTCTTCCATTGGTATTATAAATAACAATGGTCTAAGTGCGGATCCTTGATGCACGCCTACTTCAAACTCCCAAATTTCTTGTGCGGCTTCCTTTTAGGTGACGCGTTTTTTTTTCGGGAGAAGTTTATTTTCAGTAAAGTTTCTTTTTTTGTGGGTTGACTTTTCAAGGCCAATTCAAGTCCGTTTGCCGAATGGAAGGCAACTTCCGTTCTCTGGTAAAGTAGTGCAAATGGCGCAGAAAAAAGTTTTAATTTAAAAAGTGTGTGTGTTTAAAAGAGTTTAAAAGAAAGGTGTGAGTTTTTAGATTTTGCAGCAGAATAAAAACCGATTTATTCAGTTTTCTAACTGAATTTGTTTTATCAAAGAAAGTGTCCAGCATATAATTGTTTTTTTTAAAAGGCTGTTCTTGAAAATGTTTCATTCAAAATGAAAATTTTTCTTTTATTGAAAATTTTTCAGTCTGTTGGTTGTTTGATTTGAAAACTGTAACTGTTTCTTTGCCAATTTCAATAAAAGGATTTGTTTAAAATTGAAATAAGGATGATGCTCTGCTTTGCCTCTCTTGATATTCAAAAGTGTCATTTTAATTTTTTTGTTTAGTAATGTTAGTTGTCACTCTAATTGCATTCACAATTATGGCGCTGATAATATTCGCTGAAAATGGAGAAAATGACAATGCAGTTACAGAGCAGAGCGCAATCTTCCCTTCTTTCGTGACGGCCATCGAAAACTTGCTCATCCTCACGACAACTGCCAATAATCCTACCGTAATGATGCCAGGCTTCTCGCAGAACCGACTGTATGCTTTGTTTTTTATCTTTTACCTCCTCATTTCAGTCATTTTTACAAATATTCTCATCTCTATTCTTTACACTCACTTCACAACTTTCTTCCGAAATAGTGTGGCTAGTTCTCTTCTCAGACGTAGAGTGGCTTTCAGAGCCTCGTTTAGTTGTCTGCAGCAGTTGGAGTCGAATGTGTCCAACTTCTCGGTCAATTCCGTCAGCGGAACTGTCTCTGAAGATCAAAGCCCACAAGAAGGCGAATATTCGAATGTGAAAGTACATACGACAAAAATAGAGAACTGCATTCGAAGCTGCCAAATAAGGGTGAGTATAACTGAAATTTAGTTTGAAACAGACTGAAGTTTCGATAGAAATTGGAACATTAAGTTGCTGTGCAGGTAGCATGGATTGTTCCGAATCACACCAATTGTTTAGAAAATTGTATGAAAAAAATGTCAGATTGATTTTTAAGTGTATACGAACGAAGTGACTTTCAGTTCAAAAGGTCTTGATGATTTTTTGATTTTTTTTTTCAGGAAAAGTTTACTTTTGATTACTTTTTTTATTTCGCTTCATTTCCTCTGTTTACACAAGCAAAGCATGTGGATAGTATGAACTCTCTTTTTTTAATAATCTAAGTCGCAAATATTAGTGTTCATTTTGAAAGTATTCTTTTATAGCAGTATGTCCATAAGATCAATAACAATCTATTAGGTACAGCCAATGGTAAGGATATGAACACATACTATTAAATTACAAATAGCTGTTTAGCTTCAAGGTATCATGGATATGTAGCGTAGAGGTAGGGAAGGAGACCCGCAACAAAATAAGAGGGTTCGAACCTGGGCAGTGTTGGATGTTTTTAATGAACTTTTTCGTATACTAGTTAAAATGCATCCGCTCTATAAATTGAGGCATGTTAGTTGTAATTTTCTTTTTGTCAAATTGACGTACTGCTAATGCGTCACTTAGCTATTATGTAGACTCATATTTGGCGTGCTTCACTTAAGAAATTATGTAGACTCAAAGTTTTACTCATTCAGTTTTTCTCAGTAGCGTTGTCGGTCATATTTTTCCTTGCGTATACGAAGTGCAACTTCGCTTCTGTGTAAATAAAAGAAAACTCCACTATCGAACAGCAAAAGAATAAAAGTCACGAAAATTGTGAATTACTTCTAGTTTCAAAAAATGGACCTTAATCTTCCGAATTCACAGCGGAATAAAAGGTTACGCATTGATGGGATAATTTTACGGAAAAAGCGCCAATCAAAAACAGTATTCGAAATTCTAGCAAAATTTGAAATTGTCGACGCATTGGTGTGGCGAAGTCAATTTATTATCAGCAGTTGAAGATATGGCCGGCATTCTAATATTTTCGCACAATTTTTGTAAGTTTTCTCAAAATTGTCGTTTTTTTCATATTTCAAAAATTTTTATTGATTTAAGAAAAAGTACGTTGTCTTAAATCAATCACGCTAGATATATCTATTGATGGCGCCAAATGATATATGTACGGGCTAATGAAAAGTAAGAACTAAGGTAAACAAGAGTGTCATTTATAAATTAATTGATGGTGCCAATGGATTTGTTTATTATGGAAAGTCCAGCTTTACACAAACAGCCATTTTAGGGTTTTGTTTCTGCGTTTCGAATACGAAGATCTGTAAGCCAGTAGTTTTGTAGATTTGACTATTTTAACTTGAAAAGAACCTTATTTGAAACCTTTTTTTCGTTCAATTTTTGAAACAAGTTTTATTATTACAGTTGCATTAATTTCGTTGTTTTTTCATATATGTTTCACGTTTATTAATCTGCTTGAAGCACTGTAGGTGCGTTACACGCTAGTGTTCATAAAAACTACCAATAAAAGTTCTTCATATTTTTTTAATTTGAGTTGATTTTGGTTGGGATGATTTTAACTGGACATTCTTAATGGTATATTTTTTAATCATATCTCGGAATATTCGAAACCATCTGACAGTTGTTTTCGATATCTGATTTTGCTTTGAACAACACCCGAATAAAATTCACTAATGGCGCAGGAGTTTGACAGCAATAAATTGCCAAGTTAAACGAATTCAACAACAATTATGTCTTTCTTCGGTGTTTTGAATGTTGTTTTTTTAAATCGATAGATAGATCTATTGCTTTTTTAGGATACACGAAGAAAAATGAACGCGCTGAAAGCGCTTAAAAAGGACACAAACCATTGGTACACTTATGAGGACTTCTTGAAACTTCTAAAAACGCACCTGGAAGCTCCTAAGCCATTCAAGCCGAAGAGTCACATAGCCGAGACGCAGATAAAGTTTCCATTGGCTCTGAAAGTCCAAGTCCTCATGATCAACAACACTGGTGTAATAATAGGACAGGTCATATCATTTGTGTTTTTCTTCTTCCTAACTTTATCCGCAGCAATTTTCACCAATAACACCACCGGAGATGTGACCGCAAAAATGCGAGCTCCTATTTTGTCCATTAATGTAACTCTGACGTTCATTTGTATCGCCTATTCTGGACTTCTAGTTTGGGCATTTGGAGCCAAAAGGTTCATGGAGAGTCCGAACCGAGTGTTTGATATACTGTCAACTGTTGCCATCAGTGGTTTTGTCGTCGGCGCTTTTGTGGAGGCAATTCGAGACGACTGGCACATCAACTTTCCGGACAAACTGAGGGTTAGTGGAGCTATGTCATGGGGCTACTAAGTTGTCTGACCTTAAGTGTTTTTTTTCTGTACCTCAAAAGTCATCATCAATGCATTCAAATGTTTCTGTGCCTCTCAGAAAGTGAATATATCATTGTGGTTGTTATTTGAACTGCGAGAACGGTAAAATTTAGTTCACATGACAAGGTACCTTGACTAAAGTGTTCTTCGCAACTTGGAATTATGACGCATATAAATCTGAACCGCGATCTACCTGGAACACATCACGATTGTTTTCGGTGGCGAAATTTGGTAATATTTGTAAAAGCGACAAATCTTTGTGAAGTAATTTGCTATTATAATTGTTTTGTTGCAGACTGTGGCTGTTCTCTTCAAGTTCGCCTTGAACATGTTCCACGTGAAACAGGTGCGTGTGGTGATCGAGACTCTCTACGATCTCTTCACTAACCTCATCCCCTTCGCGGCTATCATGGCCAGTGCATACTATGTGTTCGCAGTCATGGGCATGATACTCTTCCAGGACGAAATAGGGGGAGAGAAGTTTGCAGAGGAGTTTCAGTTGATCAACCTGACGTTTCCAAGAGTAGAGGTATGCAATGTGAAGGGCATTAGAACTGTTTTCGAGAGAAACTTTGGTTCTGCCTCAACTGAGTTTTGAGCTTCGATTAGCAGCCGTTAATAAATATCGGACCATAGATTTTTTCTTGGTAACAACTTGATTCACAGATGAACTTAATCAGTTGATCGCTGGCTGGATTTAGAATAAATTCAAATTGAGTGTCCCTTTTTGCACCTTTGGATCAGAGGTAACGTCCATGCCTGGTACTAAGAAGGTACTGGATTCTAATCCGGCCATAATCAGTCCTTCGGCAAAATGAAAGTTTTCAGCTTGAAAAAAATGTCGGCCTGTTGTTTGTGTTCCCTTTTGGTCAGTTTAGTTATTAAATTTTATCGGATTCAAAAGATTTTGTTAGATTTTTGGCGATGCGGTAGGTCGGCTTTAATTATATTGGCTTATTTCTTATGTCTTTGTTCTAGCGTCAGTATAACAAATTCAAAAAACTTTTAGCTTTTATCTTCAGCTCTAGCTGGGCCCTTGGTTGTGTTCTATCGATACATACAAAAAATTATGTTTCACCTAGCTTTTTTCAACGTTTTTCATTTTTTTTCTAAACGTTAGTCGAAGAGAAAATGAAAAACGTTGAAGAAAGCTAGTTGAAGCAGAATTTTTGGAATGTATCGATGGAAGACAATCAAGGGCCCAGCTAAAGTTGAAGATAAGTGCTAAAGTTTTTCAATTTGCTATACTGAATTTCATGCGCCTTCAGGAATGTAAAAAAGGCTATAAAAGCTAGCCTTTCGAGAAACCCTGCATTCAGAATTAGGACGATAAAATGAGCAGACAGACATAGCAGAAAGTTACCAGTTAGCAAAAAAAAACACTTGAAACCCAAGCCCTTGTCTTCTCAACCCTCGTCTTTTCACAAAATTAATTATGCATAATTATATTCTAAGAGATGGCTAAGTCAGAAAAGTTTGACAAAATGTGATTAAGCCGAGAAAAGTTAGATCTACTCAGGCGAAGCAGAGCTTCGCATCACATGCGACACTACACATAGCATTGCAAGCTAGCAGACAGAAAAGGAAGCAACTAAGTCTAAAAATAGGGAAAAGTATCGAAAAAACCACTAGTAAAAACTTTTCAAAGTTTTGTCTGGAATGGTGTTCTATTTGCGGAAAACACATCCAGAAATATATTTGAAAGCGTTTGAGCAAAAAAAATGTCATGGAAAAATTTGAACTATAAATTCTATTCTGAGATTTTCACGTTTTGTACGATCCGGAGAAAAGCAAACAATTTATGGTACCCAAATTTAGGTTTGTGAGCCGATAAAATATCAGCCAAAATCATTTAAACCGAAAAAAATTTTAAGCAAAGGAGAAAATACGAAGTCAAGGTTAGTAGAATTACAAATTGCACGAGTAAATTAAAACATAAATCGCAATTGCAGAATCCAGAATCTTTGCCGTCCCAGGCGTATTCGTTACCTTCGACTAAAAGTACCGCAGACGCTTGAAAATTTGAATTCCTTGTGAACCAGGATACCAAGTGATTCTGTTAAACAAGTTAATAACCAGACAACATTTTTTATTGGCTGAGCTGGTGTCTACCCACGTGATGTTGATTGAGTTTTATTTTTTGTTACATTGATCATTATACTTGCAAAAGCAAGTGTCTCGTAATCAGGAACTATTTTTTTCATGTTAATAATTTTCTTAACAAATCTCACTTGCTTTTCTTTCTTTCGGTATTATTGAACCTCAATAACTTCCAGATTTGTTCTTACTTGGCCTCAACTTTTGCCTGCTCGAAAATTGTCGGCGTTATGTCCGCTTCGTAAGTTCTGTTCCGTTGCTAATTTAATGTTCAAATGTTCTTGGAATGTTTGCCTAGAATGAACTTTCATCGAGGCATTTTTTCTCCGTATGTTTGTGTTGTATCGCAAGTGATGCGAATCTCCGCTTCGCCTATGTTTTACAATGGTTTTTATTCTTTCTTGACATGTTCTCCTCAAAATGAACTTCATTCGAGGCCACATATGTAAGTTTTGTTAGATGTAGTTACTTACGTTTTTTCAAGCCATTTTTTTGTTTTAGTGCTTCTCGTTTTTTTAAAGTTAACTTGCCATGCAATATTTTGTTGTATCGCAAATGGTGCGAACCTCCGCTTTGCCTCTGAGTTAATATCAAGTACTGTCATTTCAGCCTCCTTGTGGAACGTACGAACAGCTTCAGTATTGGGCGAACAATTTTAACGACTTCTACGCGGCGTGTGTAGTACTGTGGGATGTCATGATTGTGAATAACTGGAACGTCTTTTTGGATGCATTCAGTCGCTATAGTGGAACGAACTACGCCAAAGTCTACTTCATATTCTGGTGGCTAATAAGTAATGTTATTCTGTTCAACACGCTCACAGCTCTAACTATTGACAGTATGTTATTCCGTCTAAAACTAAGTCAGAAAGAACACACGGAAGATACGCGACAGCAGGAGCTTAGGCGTCACTCCGTTATACCTCCCGAAATGATCAACCAACTGAGTCCAGTCGCCCAGCGAATGTATGCCGACTACGCGAGGACGAATAAATACGAGACGCTCTACGACTTGTACCGAGAGTCGGGCGAGCTCGAGGAACCGACTTTGGAAGAGGTCAATGCCCAGCTGAGAGCTCATAAAGGGAAGGATTTTCAGTGCCTGGAGCAACCGCCTCCACCTCCTGAGGACCATGGGCGACCCCGTTTGCCGACGTCCAATTTCTACCTGACTTTACCCGGCCAAGCCAGTGTCAGCACTTCGACTTCAGAATTTCTCTGATGATGTCAAAAAGTGTCATAGTTCTACATATCTATTGGAGTGTATTCTGTTCAGAATTTTTTTTAGCGTTTTATCGGAATTGTGTGACTTGAGCCAAGTGTGGATCAACTACTACATCGCTTTCGAATGGAAGTCAAATTGGCTCCCAATGATTATAGATGGCTTTTGAAGGGTTTTCAAAAATATATAGGGTACCTTTTAGCGTGCCTTTAAATGTCTTAGATCGGGTTTTTTCACTGGTTGTCAATTGGCATTATTCGATTATCATGCAGTAACAGGAGAATAAACTCTTTTCTGTATTATCTGATTTATTATTTATTGATAGCTTTTATCTGTAAATACGGTCCAGATTTATTTTAGTTGAGAATCAAACTGAACACCTTGAGGTCATTTGAGGATCATTTCAAAGTATTAAAACTTATGGCAAACTCAATTTAAGGTGCTAACAAAGTCAAATCTAAATGTAGCTAGAAATTTTTACTAAAGGCAAGTCGGCCATCTTTTCAATAATATTTTACTCTTAGATTAGAAATTATTAATCCTTGCTCGAGTTCATTTTTGCTCCCACATGATTTTTTTTTCATTACTCGCAGACTAGACAAGATTTGCTCAGCAGTTATGATGCTCGATTGCAGCCAAAGGCTCTTGTTTCCAGTTTCGAATACAAGGATAAATTTAATGGCAGAAACAGAAATTGAAACCTTCATTCAAAATACAGACACCTCAGCGACACGAACAGTGAAAAGTAAGCATTGAAAATTTAATTAAAATTGATCGCGTCATGGTATTCTGTTTCAGAAGTTATGCCAGCCAAGAGGACTCGCCGTTCAGATTCATCAGCCACTGCAGTCGATGCTTCGCCAGCCAAAAAGAGCATCAAGGAGGAAGCAGTTTCATCATCCGAACCAACTGCCGTAGAGCCAGTGTCGCCAGAGAAGAAAATGGACACTTCTAATAGTGAAGAAGCAGAAAAGATGGAAGTATCGAAAGCTCTGAAATTTGACGAAAACGAGTATGTTTTGAGTCGTTCTTCGGACCAAGACATCGCTGATTCTTCTGAAATAACTCTGAAGTTGAAATCAGTGGTTAACGAAATGGCAAAACTGAAAAGCAAAGACGTAGTTAATGAAGCTGATAAAAACCAAATGGTCCAACTGAAATCAGAAGCATGTGTTTTGGTTACTCTGATGCGTAGATTGAACAGATATGGTCAAATAAGGTGTAAGTTACTGCGAGAAAAATCATCAGCTGCTAAGGAAAAAGTGGACGCAAAATATTTGCAACTTATGAATGTGCAATACGAGATTTCGCATCTCAAAAAAGAGATTCAAAAGTGTCTCAATTTCAAATCAAAGGACGAGGAAATTGATTTGGTTTCGATTGAAGAGTTGAAATCAAACGCGGACGCAGAAATTTACGACGCTGAAAAAGTGGGAGATGATCCTTATTTACTGAAGTTAGCTCAATTACAGTTCGAATTATCTGAGAGGAAGCGGTTGGGTGGAGAATTTAAAGAATCTGTGCGTGAAAGAGCAAAGGTAAAAGCCGTTATTGAACAGAAAAAACGGACGCTGCATAAGCTTCTGCCAAATGTTGATGAGGTAATCAAAGCGACAAAACCTCTCGAGGAAGCTCTGGGAGTCGAAACTTTTTTCAGTGAGATTCACGATCGAGTGAAACACCTCCCAACTCCGTTGTTTGTTCTCTATTGCCAAGCTACGGCGTATGCGGAAGCATTCGGTGATGATTCGATGGTCACTGTTAAAGTACTTGGGAACCCACCGGAAAGCGAGAGTAGCGTTGATCCGTCCGTCCTTCTATCCGATGAAGACGATAAAGATGATGCGAACGGAGCTTCCGAACAGCAGTCCGAGGACAGTCGTAGCTCACGCGGAGTTGCAAGCAAAGGAGTTGAAGCGGGAACTAGTAGTGACGTCGTGGAAACACCAGCGGCAATCGTGAACAAAACGGGAAAATTGTTGAAGGAGCACCCGATGATGGTTTCTATTGAAGTAGGTGTGAAAGACAGGTTGGAGAAAATAGAAATGGTCTTTTCGTTTCTGGTGTGTCTTAATTTGGTGGTGGTCAAACCGAGATTGAAGACCTCGCCTGCTAATTCGCTGACGACTGTCTTGACCAATTTGTTTCCGAAGGACGAGGGAGCCGATACTCCTAATCCATCGAATTATTTCATGTTCGAAAAATACGGAGTCACCTCGTTCTCGAAACTGACAAGGTAAGACAAGAACGTTAATGTCAGATGCCTGCTAGGATATAAAACCGGTCTGATTTTTTATTTTGAAGAATTAACGCTTGCCTCTGAAGAGTGCTTTTAAGCTTAGGTTGCTGGGATTGCATATCGGCTTTTAAGAAACGCAACGACTGTCTACAGTTTTTAAGGGTTACTGCTCGATAAGCTGAATAGCTATTTGCGTGGTCATTGGTGATGTTGTACTGTTCATGCTGTATATATTTGTATATATATAATTTCTCTAAAAAATAGTTTAGATGTTGTTTAAGAGTCGATGAACATAGTTCAGACCTTTATAGGTCGTGATGATTTTTTTAGATAGGCCGTGATGATAGGCCATATATTTTTTACTAAGATTTTCTCAAGATCTTTCTGTTTCCATTGATTCTTTACCAACTGTCTGTTGTCTATTCTATTCGAGTTGATTTTGAGTGGTTGGTGTTGTTGGGTTGTAGACAGACTGGGTTCGCGTACCACTGGGTGCAGCGTATATGTGGAGTGGACTTCAAGACCCTGCGTGCGGGAGATGCTGTCAAGTGGGAGGACAGTGTGGCTGCTCACTCTCTCGGCCAGACTGTCTCCATGGTGCAAGAGAGAGTGAGGAGCAGGATAGAACTGGCCAGACAGGTAAGCACTCACTTTTCAAGCTGTTTTTATGCAATCACAATCAAGGGTTTCATGGCAATCAAGAAAACACCCAGATAAATGATTTAATTTTTCTCGGACCCACGATCCATGGTACAACTTGGCCGTTTTGTAGCCAAAGAACGACAGCAGCTTTAAGGATTTCATCTCTGCCATAGTCATAGACAATTTCTATATAATGTATTACCACAAGAAGTTAGACCCTCGAATCTTTAACCTCACTTTCATTTCTCCTCATTACTTTTTCACATCTCAGTCCTCATATACGTTCATTTTTGTTGCGACGATTTATAAAGGGGAGGAACTTTGTATTCGGATGTGTTTTAATTTTTTCCACGCGAAGTTAGGTACCACAAATAATTGTCGGATTTAGTCAACTGATTTATCATATAAAAGCCCTTTTAGTCGTCATTCGAACCGCTTTAAAATTTTTCAAGTTTCAAAACAGTCTAATTTCGAGCGAGTAACGCGATCGAGTAGCATTCATTATATGAAGTTCAGGCTATGAAAATTTGATTTATCTAAAAGGAAAGCAGGTTTTGTTAGGTGGTTTTGACAACCAGGTTTTAAAAAAGAAATATTGTGCAAAAAATATTTTTTTTGGAATGTTATTCATTTTTTAAGATAATTGTTGTTTTTTTTGCATGTTGCTCATTTTTTAAGATAATTGTTGTTGGTTATGCCTATCTTTCGACGAGTTTGTATTGTTTTCCATCACACCACGCCCAAAAACGGCACTAAATCGAAGAAAAAAAACACTTTGTAGTTTTTTCATGAATGTTGTCGGAACATTCTGTGATGCTTGCAGAGCAACCGGCTATTGTTGTTTTTGTTTCTCTTTGAGTAGCGTAGGTAGTTTTGATATTGTGTGAAAATCGTTGATTTGATGACATATTTTGATTTGATGACCATCAAGTGGTAGTTCTGATCAAGGGGATTTTATTGTATGTGTTTGTTAATAAGGGGTTGCTGTTTTTTGTTTCGAATGGAACAGCTAGTGTTTTGACCTTATAACCCGTTGGTAGCTCGGGCAAGGCAGCATAATCCGTTTTTTTTTCCACTGCTTATGCGCTATGATTTCATGCTTAGAAACAGTGCTTCCTTTTAAGGTCGGCAGTCTGGAGAAGAAAACAGTTCCTCTGCCGCCTCTGTGTCTGGAATTCTACCCTACTAAACTGTCCACCAGCATTCTGAAGTTCCAGCCCATCTCCAGTGAGGAGTACAGAAGTGGGCTAAAGATTGACCCGTCTGCTTTCTCAGAGGCCAGAGAGAACGCCATGCATTTCTTCGCAGTGCTGGTTAAGAACTTCCAGAGCAAAGAACAGCTCCACGCTTATATTGAGGTTAGCTAAAAATAGAATCTGCTTCAAAAGAACGAGGTAAAAGGACATAGAACAGTTAGATAGAATAAAAATATTCTGAATTTCAAAAAAATCTGTTGCAATCAAAGTAGGCATAGAGAAACTCAACTTGAATAGAGCTTCAAATTTATTTGCTTTCGATACCACAATTCTGATGCCGTTGATCTGTCTATATAGTTAAAGCATTATAGTCACTCCCAATTCAAGGTCATCTTTGAAACATTGAAGATACTTGATTGCATGTTTGTTTCGCATTATGGCTCTAACAATAGATGAAATTTCGGATATTTGACAGACATCCTCTTAAAATATAGTCGTTGTACCCAGTCCACGAAGTCACGATCTCAATATAACGAACTGTTTTGTATTTTCAATGGCATGCTGATTTGAATGTTACCGCGTTAAGTCACGCATATTGCTCCGACCATTTGAAAAATGTGGAGGAATTTCGTATTCGGGTTTTGAGTTTTTTTTGTTTTCCTCGCAAAATCGGGTACCACAAGTAATCATCGGAATAGGGCGAGTAAAATATCATAATAAAGCCTTTTTAGTCGTGTTTCGAACGACATTTAAAAGTTTTGAAAAAATTTTCTCAGTTGAGAAAAACCAGTTTGACATTTTTGATTTTTGGTCTAATTGCGATCGAGTAACGAGCGTTATATAGAAATTTACTGTTTTTAAAAAGTTTTATGATAGAAGATTTGATTTTACTATAAAGAATACTAGTTTTGGATGTTTCATTTAGCGCTTGCTTGGTAAAAAAAGTTTATTGTGCCAAGTTAGAATTTTTTTTCTCTTTTTATTTTTTAGAGATAAATGTGGCCGATTATGCCTAATTTACTTATTTTCTTTGCGATCGTATAGTTCTCGAAATAAACCGCCTACTAAAAATGACACTAATTTGAGGAAACTATTAAAAAAAAATTGTCGGAACATTCTGTGCTACTTGCACAGTAACCGGCTACAGGCTGCGTTGTGCAAACTGATAAAACTTGTTTTCCGAGCTCTCCCGAAATATTATAAATACCTTATTTTTCTTTTAAAAAATAAGCAGCAGGCAAAGTTTGAAAATTATCAGGTCAAAAATTAATCTTTGAAGGTTTTGATCAGAAAATCGCATTAAGAAATATCTGATTATGTATTTAGGTGATGCAGAACTATCCCAGCTCATGCCCTGTGTTCAACCTTCGATTCTCACCCGTGCAGTCAGACCTCCTCACAAATTGGGCCGCCCTCTTGCGCCAACTGGAAGAAGAGGCCAACATCAAAGCACTCCAAGTATGTCCCAAAGAACACAAGAGTGACTTGCTAACCGTCCAGTTGTACCACCTCATGTGCTGCTTCGAGGTCATGACCGATTCGGGAAGAACGAGCGAGAGAGTTTACCCGAGACAGTTCAAAGGTCGTAACAGGGCCAGACCCTTCACATACAAACCGAACACAGGCCTGTTCCTGTTTAACTGAAACTTGGAAGAAACTGATTTACAAGCTGAATTTGTTAATTGTTGGCTACCTTGCACTTAACAAACGATCAGAAACTTATTTAATGGCTCTCATGATTTTTTGTTGATAAATTGTTCCATTTTTGTCTCCTAGTTCTTTTCCCGAATTTAAAAAATGTTCAAAATTTCTCAGCGGAATTGCCAAAGAGATGGTAAGAAAAAACTGAAAGATATGAAATACTACATAGACTACTCAAGTACACAGAAGAGCCGAATAGTTGTAGCTATAACTAAATTTAACCGAAAAACTACTGGGGCAATTTGAACAGAAACGAATAGCCGTGTTCACGTCGACATCCTGTCAAATCGTCAAACTTGATCAGCTTGTCTTCAAATATCAGGTTGTCATAGCATTCAGTTAATGTAGGCGCCACAGGCTCTTTTGAAAAAGTTACATTGGTCGGCCATATTTTGATCATTAGTATTGGCTTTAAGCTACTACTGACTGCTGTCTTGGAAGTGCTGATATTCAAAGGCCCTATAAGAGCATTGATTTGTTCATTTTGCATACTAAAAAAGTGCTTTTTAATGAAAACTGATTGAAAAATCTCAATTTTTTTGGACTTGAAAAGTGCGTTCGGTTCGTTTCATTTCGGCCCGAGACAACAACTTCGGCAATCTTGGTGGAATCACCAACCGTTGAAATTATGAAATATTCATTTTTCTGATGAAAATTTGAAGTAATCTGAAAAAATAATGGAAGGTCCGATCAGTATTTCGGTCATTTCATTGGGCTTCATCGAAAGTTACATGAAATCAGCCGGAATAGTTTATGATTTAAAATTTTTTGATGTGTTTGTTTTATCCTCAAAACTATTAAAATGAAGTTTCAGTGCTTAAAACGTCAACAACTTTTTATCTTTGAAAAATAAACTAAGCATAGCTCAAATTTAAAGTATCTTTCACTTAAATATCAAGGTTTTCACGGAAAAAAGGGTTTCATACATACTGAAAAAAAGGTCCGGCCGAGACTCGAACTCCAGATCATGAGGTAAGAAAGCAACCGCGTTATTTCTAGGCCAAGCGAGAAGAAGTCAAGAATTTGTTAAGGTTCACTAATAAAGCAACATTACAATTTCTTACAAATTTCGCAATTGTATAAAACTTGGATAAAAATTTTACTTTGCAATATAGTTGGAAACTAGTTGACCCGGTACTAATGAAGTCTCATTTGGTACCAACGTGCTTTGTACAAAAAAAAGTTTTTTAAAATGGTCGCGTTTGAACCTTAGTTAATCAACCCGAATTTTGACTGGTCAACTTTTTGACCCAATGAATTGTTAAACTAATTGTCTATTTTGCTAAGCATTGCAATCAATGGTGAACACCGCAGCCTTGCAAACGAGATAAAGAAAAATTTTGAGTGCCAGTAATCGCTGCGAGCGTAGCGCGCTACCGGCAGCCCCTTTTCGAGATAATTATATTAGCTGTCGCTGACCAATTGAACAGTTTTTGGTGATAAATCGACTAGTTTAAAAAAAAAATTCGAGTATCTAGTAAAAATTTTGGTTCTAAAGCGACTGGGGCTAAAGCGAAATTTTTTGATCTCTGAGAATACCAACAACCAAAACAACCTTGACTTGTAAGATAAATGACTCAAGAGAAATTATCAGCAATCTAGATGAAATAGTTGTCCCTAAAAATTATGCAAACTCAGTGTACCACAAAAACTGTAGAATGTTTGAGACAAATATCATGATTTTTTAAATTTATTTTAAAAAAGCAGGCAAAAAAGTTATTTTTTCAGATTCAACTAATATCAACTTAAAAAACACCAAATCAATTACTTCAACAACGGTAATAATGAGCGGCGAGAAATCACTGGCTTGCATTAAAAATCTTGGTCAATCAAAAAACTCAAAAATGAAAACCGGTCGCTGAACTCCATTTTTCGTATTGCTTAGTGTCTTGTTTTACATTTAAACAATTCGACCAAAAACCTATCAAAGGGCTAAAATGTGATACAAAACTTAAGTTCTGTGAGATACTCTCGAGATATTCCCAACTGAGCGGGAGAATACTTGTTAAATCATATTTCCTTCAGGTCAGTTTTAACAAGTTTTACTATAAGCTATTTGTAGAAAAGCCCAGTGCCATAGAATACAACTCATTAAATTACTACAAATTTGAAATTCAATAATTTTCAGCCGTATTCTAATTTACCGCTGGTAAATTGCCAAGGATAAGCCAAAATAAATTATTGATTGACTCTGTTTTCAAGAAAAATGTCACTTCAGAGCAAAAAAAAGCAGCATAAAAATTGATCTTTCTAAAACTTAAAACCAAAAACTTCTGAAAAAACCGTAGTCTTTCAGAAATTTTCAATCATCTAAGCAAGTAAGGCAATTTTAGTGCTCAGCAAAATAGACAATTACTTTAACCATTCATTGGCTCCAAAAATTGACCAGTCAAAATTCGGGTTGATAACTTAGGTTCAAACGCGACATTCAAAGAATAAATTTCGTACAAATGCAACGTTGGTACAAATGAGACTTCATTAGTACCAGTCCATTCATTTTCCGACTATTTTTTAAAGCAATTTTTTTCTCCAATTTATGAACAATTGCGAAATCTATAAGAAATTGTATTGTTGCTTTATTAGTGAACCTTATCAAATTCTTGACTTCTTCTTGCTCGTTCTAGACATAACGCAGTTGCTTTTTGAACTCATGAACTGGAGTTAGAGTCTCGGCCGGACTTTTTTTTCAGTATGTATGAAACCCTTTTTTCCGGGAAAAATTGAATAATCGGACTTCCGTTTGTCTGCTTATTTTTTGTCGGTTTATTTGCTGCATCGAGAAATTTTTTATGGAATCAGTTTTTTTTATTGTTGCTGCAAGTGTTTTTGATTTACTCCTGTAATTTGTAAAACATTTAACCCTGACGTTGTATATTATTTTTGGTTTTCCTATTTGTTTTTTTTCTTCCTTAAAGTCACGATTAGGCCTTTGTTTCAGTTGCCTAACATGATTTCAGTTGAAGTTTTATTCATTTATTTACTTTATTTTGTGTCGCTTTAAAAGCAAAAATGATTGATTTTGTTTTTAAAAACTCAGGTAGTTTCTGTTGCATGATTTTAAAACTTAAAAATCACTTGCTTGAGTTTTGATACTCAAAAATTGTTCATGACTATATCTTCTTTGAACATTTGTCTTGTTTCCGGTTCAATAAGCATCTACCCACCTCTTGTCGGCATAGTGGCCACTCGGTAAATACTAAAGTCTTATATAGCACGGGTGGTTGTATTTTTCTACTGTTTTTTTTTAAATTAATTTTATTTTTTCGATTGCGTTATTATTGTACGACTTTCTATTTAGCTTACAAATGCGCTTACAAAGACTGAAGCATACAAAGACTGAAGCATAGCACTGAAATGAGATTAGTTGAAAGGTTCCATGACAATCTAACCGGGTCCATTTAACGCTATACTATCTAAGTTCTATAAAAAGTTTTTATAATACTTGTATAGAGTCCTACCCTCTGTGGGCAAGTTTGCAGCAGCAACACGTTGACGAGTCTGAGGCGATCTCTATTTTGCTGTTATCATTTCATCTTAATTTAGGCGTATGGTATATTGGCGTAGGGTAGATTGACATAGGGTTACTTGGTATATATGGCAGAATGGCAGAATAGGGAAAATTGGAATAGGGTACGTTGTCCTGCTACCGGTCGAAAGTAATAACTATGATAGGAAATCAAAAATGTACTAGCTCAATAGCTCAGATAGAAAATATCATGCACGGGTTTTGGTTTAGCAAAAAAAAACTGTTTAAGTTACTAAATTATTTCAAAAAAATTCAATTAGCTGAAGCAAAGTTAATTGAAACTCTCGTTTTTGAGTTTGCTGCAGTGATAGGAAAAAATAATTTCAACAAGTTTTCTGATTAAAGATACAACAAATTGTTTTTTTTTCTTTTGTAATCTTCAAGCTCTAGCGAACTTTTCTTTTTGTAATATTCAGGTTCTAGCAAAGTTTTCTAATGACATTAGAAGTATTGCAAATTCTCTGATTAGCTGCTTCTCATTTCTGTGGAAGCTGTTCGGAAAATATTTGTTAAAATTAAATCGGGGGTGTTCCACACGTTCAGATTGCGAGTATGCTTAACCGTTGAGTTAGAACTTTGGGGTACATAGGCTTCGGTTTTTTTTCAGGCTGCAGTTTGAACTCAAATCGCGAACTCATGTGATTGAAGCAATGAATTTGATAGTAGTTGGGAATATCTTCGCAAGAATGTTTTTTCACTGCTCGCTCTCATGGTTTAAATGAAGAATTAAATTACTGCAAGAAAAACTATATCTGACTTTAGTGCAAAATTTGAAATAAATCATTGCTCCAAATGCAGATTTTGGTAGCGAACCTTGAATTGTGGTACGATTTTTCGCTCACGCACATCCGTGTCTCAAAAATGAACGGCAGAAGTAGGCGTGAAAAAAAAAAACAAAAAAATCTGTCGCCGACTAAAAGCAACTTGAATTTTCCGTTTTTTATATGATTTGCTTAGATTTTCAGATAAATGTATTTGATTAAAATCAGCTCCTTTTTTTAACAGGCTCTATTTGCAAATAGTGAGAAAATGAGATAATGAAATTCATCAATCCCTCCACAACGCACCAAAAAATTTACGAAGTTCTAATAAAAACTTGACACCTACAATAACCGCCCATTCTTGTGCAATATAGATTTTGCTATTCCTCTTGTGATTATTCAACTTCAAAATTTTCGCTCGTGGCTCTTGAAATTTTTGTTCAAATTAAATGGACAGGTACCTGTCAAAATGACAGAATAGGATCTGTGTTCGTTACCTCTCTTCAAATTTTATAGGTCACAAGCGACTTCAGATTAGGATTTTTAACGAGTAAACTAACCAAGAATTTCGAAAACTAAGATTTTCTGTTCTGAAGTTGTCGATTTTAGCTAAGATGCGATTTACGCGCGAGAAGTTTATTCTACGCGTAGCAATTTTCCTAGCCTTGTTACCGTCTCTAACAGTTTCCGATGACGACAAAGGCTGCCCTCAAAACTTCATCGAAGTAAACGAGTTCTGTGTGACTAAATTTAACGACTTCACGAGACAGGGATCCTTTGACGAGGCGTGGGGCTTTTGTAACTCTTTTAACCCTACTGGATTTAAGGGGACGCTTTGGGCTATATCCGAATTGGATGATTTGACTGAAAACGTATTATTGTCGTTGGTACATCCGGAAATAGATGATTCTGACTCTGAAATCTTCAATTTACCAATTTGGAATGGATTTGACTCAGTTTTTGGTGAAACATCTGAAGATTTGTGTTCTGTCATTAAGTCAAAGCAAGATCAACTGATCATTTCTGAAACGAATTGCAACGATACTAACTCATTCATTTGCGCTATTAAAAGACATCCTGCAAAGTGCACTGATTTCATCAATTCTCAATTCTGCCAATTGCACTCGAACTACTTCTGCGAAACAACAGGACAACTTGCCACTTTATGCCCCCATACATGCGGGTTGTGTGAATTGATTCATTCGTGCGACGGGAAAATCGATTTGAAGAGCGATGAGTTTTGCCACGACCTTGCGGGTCAAGGATTCTGTGGAAGCGATATCGACAACATTGAGCCATTCTGTTCTTTGACATGTTGCAGACACACCCACGAGGCTACGCTGGCTATAGGAGATAAAAGTTTATCGGAGGCACTGAACAACGATTGCGAAGGAACCCGAGATCTTGCTAAGTGCCCTTCGATTCCGAATACAGAGGACTGTTTCCGAGACTCGGATTTCACTTTTGCGTGCATGAGGACATGTTGTTTGTACAGTCAGTCAATTCGAGAAGTTGCTTTAGAAGTTATGCCAAAAAAGAGGTTCTCCAGTTTTGATGACAACATCGCAGAAGCCAATTGCCGAAATAAGTACGATGATACCGATAAGAGTGTTTGCTCTCAAGATGAACTGGACTGCACATCGGAGAAAATTCAAATTTACTGCGAGGAAACATGCTGTATTAAAGAGTACCGAGACGAAAACCCAGATTCAATTGGTGAAATTACAGAAACAACGGAAGAAGCGCCGTCATGTGACGAACTTACAAACATCTATTCAAATAAGGTTTGTTCGACACCCAAATCAGCTGATGACTGTGCCGAATACTTGCAGTTCAGTAAACATTGCAAAAAGCGATGTTGCGAATTGGGTTTCTCGAAATCCCGAGGCATGACTGAGCAACCCGGGCACCCTTGTGTCGAGCATACCGACAAGAAAATGCGATGTGCCCGCTACAGTGAGAAAGAAAAGGAAGAGGTGTGCAAAGACGAAGCTTGTCCGTACACTTGTTGCATGTACGAGACAGGAACCATGACTGTCTCTTCTGTTTCTAGCACTTCCAGTGTGACTAGTACCAAAGCATCTTCAAACTGCAACGGCAAAGAAGACACGATGACCAAGTGTTCGAAGGTGACCGAGAAAATGTGTGAGCAAAACGTGTACAAGAATGGCTGTCCTTATAGTTGCTGTAAACTCACAGGTGGGGACGATGGAGACAAAGGCAAAACGGAATCGCCTGACTCTGACTGTAGAAACAAGGAAGATACCATGTCGAAATGTTCCAAGGTCACTGCAAGTTTGTGCAAGAAAAATGTCTACAAAAAGGGATGCCCATTGAGCTGCTGTACGGTTTCGGGAGGAAGCAGTGGTGATGGCAATAGTGGAACCAGCAGTGGTTCCAAAGCTACTTCTAAACCGAACACTGGTTGCTCTGATGTGGAAGACCAAGCTTCAAAGTGTGCAAAACTTGCTACGGAGAAAAAATGTTACGAAGATCCTTATAAGAGTGTCTGTAAAAAAACCTGTTGTGAGTTTGGAGTTGCTGCGTACACTGACGAGCCGCCAAGCAAGGTTAGCAAAAGCTCAGAAGCTCCTTGCAACACCTATTCTGACAGCTTGAGTAAATGTCATAAGGTTAAGGACAAGCAGACTTGTAAGGATGAGCCTTACTACTCCGGTTGTCGTGAAACTTGTTGCGAACTTGGAGCCGATTACTCGAAACCAAAAGGAACAACGACAGCAAAAGTTCCGGGCGATATTTGCGTTGACAAAGAAGATCAAGCGACCAAGTGTATGCTTTTGAAGCAGAAGTCGAACCCCAAAAGTCTCTGCGAGAACGATCAGTGGTACATTAAGTACTGCCCTTTAACCTGTTGCGTGCTCTTGTATGAACCAAGCACAACTTTAACGACTACCAAACCTATGTGCGATGAAGAAGACGAGTTTCACAAATGTGATCAAATAAAGCTGACGAAAGGATTGTGCAAAAGTAGGACTTTCAAGACCAAGTGCGCGTACTCGTGTTGTGTGGTCTCAGGCGGGGAGGTTCCGACTTCTAAGCAGAGCACCACTGGTGGATCTACATTGTCCACTTCAACCACAACCACGATAAGCACCACTAGTAAACGTTAGTTAAAACTTCATCATTAAACAAAAGAATTCCTGTAAGACCGTTCAATTAGTTAAACCTAAAAATGGATATTGGAGTTGAAATGATATTAAGCTAATTTTTAGTTCACTTGTACCCAATAAGAAAAGGCAGTCTGCACAAGTGCACTAGGCAGTCTGCATTTAGGCTTAAATTGGCATTAAGTTGGAATGAACTATTTGAAAACTAAAAGCATTTTAGTTACTTTATCTTAGTTCTTCATAGAACATTGCTTTAGCATATAACGGTGGATTTTTCTTTAGCATATGACGGTGGATTTTTCGAGAAGTGCACAGTTGCGGACACTGAGAGCAAAGAGTTCTGTGCAGCTGTAATTCAAACTCACGTTAAGGACACCGGAGACCTCTGTCAAGACATCCACGTGCGACCTAAGTGCATGTTCAGCTGCTGTGTCTACTATTATGCCACTGACGAGAAGTTTCCCCAGCTTCCAGAACCCCTGGAACCCGAGAAGTGCAAGAATCTGGTTGATGGACTCCCATATAAGGTAAACTTGAAACACGAAACTCATGAATCCTGACAAGAATCCTGACAAGATATAGTTCCGTAAAAGTAAATGCTGAACTCGAGGTATCTATTTGAAGAGCATTGAGTAAGCTTCAATAGTAGACGTGCAAAAAAAACCAAATTGAATATTACATGGAACGCCAACAGCAATTGTCAGCACCATGTCAGAATTAAGAGTCTTTGATTAATTTTATGCTTTTGACTTCCACCAGGAGTGCCTGGAGAACTACCTGGAGGCACAATGTGACATCAACTGTCAGCTGACATGTTGTCTGATGGCGGAAGCGGAGGTGCCAGTGAACCCTGGATGCTACAACAAAGATGACAAAGCCAAGGAGGGATACTGTTTGACGAAATGCAGGTCGGGGAGTAGCTGCAGGATGGCCGACTGTGTCGAGAAGTGCTCGTTCACATGCTGCGTCATTCACACCGATCCGGAGAAACCCTCGACGACCACCAAGGCCGTTACAGGTTATTAAAGTTTCTATTCCTACGCAAAGAATTCTTATCCTGCTCGGAAATCAAATATATGGCCTAAGAAAAGATCTTTTTATTATGACGCTAGTATGTGTCATTCAGTCTGGATGAGCTTAAGAGCCAGAATCCTAAGAATTCATAGGACTATTTATTGGGATATTTGATTGATCTTTCCTGTAGTCGCTGACTTGTTGCTCAGTTACTTCGTTTGTACAATTTCGATTTTAGGGTCAACTCAGTCATCGCGAGGGTCTACCGAGAAACCGACGACTCCATCTCCAGAAGAAAATGACTGCAAGGACACCAAAGACGACTCTGGTTATGCACGGTGTCTGGATTTGATCAATTTCAAGTCCGAAAACTGCAGGCCGAATGATAAACTGTATGATACTGAAGGGTGCAACAAGCATTGTTGTTTTTTGGAAATTGAGTTACTCAGTGCATCGACGGCTTCTGGTTCGACGGCTTCTGGGTCGACGGCTTCTGGGTCGACTGCTTCTGGGTCGACTGCTTCTGGCTCGACGGCTTCTGGCTCGACGGCTTCTGGTTCGACGGCTTCTGGTTCGACGGCTTCTGGTTCGACGGCTTCTGGTTCGACAGCTTCGGGATCAACCGGCTCGACCGCTTCTGGATCAACCGGCTCGACCGCTTCTGGATCAACCGGCTCAACCGCTTCTGGATCAACCGGCTCGACCGCTTCTGGATCAACAGGATCTATAGCTTCTGGTTCGACAGCTGGATCGTTATCTTCTGGATCGACAGGCTCGACAGCTTCTGGTTCGACGGCTACTGGATCAACCGGATCGACAGCTTCTGTATCAACCGGCTCGACAGCTTCTGGATCAACCGGCTCGACAGCTTCTGGATCAACCGGCTCGACAGCTTCTGGATCAACCGGCTCGACAGATTCTGGATCAACCGGCTCGACAGCTTCGGGTTCTACGGCTTCTGCTGGTTTTACAGGCTCTACAGCTTCTGGCTCTACAGGCTCTACAGCCTCTGGATCGACAGCTTCTGGATCGACAGCTTCTGGCTCTTCAGCTTCTGGCTCTTCAGCTTCTGGCTCTTCGGCTTCTGGCTCTTCAGCTTCTGGCTCTTCAGCTTCTGGCTCTTCAGCTTCTGGCTCTTCAGCTTCTGGTTCGACCGCTTCTGGATCGACTTGATTACAAGGATCCGGCGCGAGCACCAGACCTTAGACTTAATAATAGCGAACTGTAAATTGTATAGAAATTTACTATAAATTTGCTTCATACACCTTTATATTCAATTATTTTTACTGCATGAGTTTTTCCTGGAATTTAAATTTGAACATGAGTTAAGCAGCCTAATAGATGAGCAAAATGAATTTGAGGCAAAAGTAAACTCCGAGCAGGACAAGAACTTGTAGCATATACTCTTTAATCATTTCTTAAGGACCGATTCTGATCAACTTCATGATCAAACAAAAAAATGGTCAAATCGTAAGAAGGTTCAATTTTAGGGTCACGAGAAACAACTAAGTCTTCCCAGGCATCCGACAAAAGCACCACCGAATCTTCTGACTGCGAGGGACTCACAGACGAGAAACCCATTAAATGTCTAGACGAAATCAAAGACGCTAGCTTTTGCAACCCTACTACCACAATGTACGACAACCTAGGATGCAACCGTAATTGCTGTTATGCTGAAGCTAAGCTGCTTACTACTATTGGACCATCGACGACTGGATCGATTTCGACCTCTGGTTCTACCTCGGGATCCACAGCTGGATCTTCATCTGGATCGTCTGCAGCATCAAAATGAGCTGGATTTTCTTAAATGATAAATGGAGATTTATATGAACTACTTAATGAATTTAACTTTAACTCTATTTGTCTGTTAGGTATTCTTTGATAAACTACCACTGCAACAAAAAGGAGCAAGCCAATAGGATGAGCTGAAGGTACCATTTTGGAATACCAAACATGGCTAGTCAGGAATTGATTGCCTTTGCAGCCGTGTATCGGAAAACAGATTTGAGGAATAATTTTTTGCTGAATACGACTCGCAACAACAGACGAAAAACGAAGTGTGCAAAGTTTTGGTAAGGTGGCATGAATCTATAGAACTACCATTCAGATAAGCATTACCAAAATGATGCATCCACTTCAAAGCACAAAAACTGAGGCAAATAAAATCACAAATAGGCTCGTATCAGGGCGAAGCCCTGAATGATCTGACTGCCTTTGAATGTAAATGGAACAGTAGTAACATTTAAATAAAAGGTACAAAAATAAAATAAAAGATTTTTTTGTGAAAATCATGACCTTACATGTCATATGCAGTACAGAGTGATTAATTTTGCTCATAGTCAGGGGTGAATCTAGGAATTTCTCGATTGTATTTTCACGAAAAAATGTATATCGACTAACTAAATTGATCTCTGAGTTCTCCCAAACAACTAAAAAGACACAAATTTGACCAAATTTTCTGCGCCACAGGCAAATTTTTGAAAAAAGGCACTTTAAGGAAAATTACGACCAAAAACTCGCCTTTTTGGCGCGGGATCCCCCATCTAAATTAGTAAAGATTGGCGCCAAAGGCGCCTTTAGAAAATTTTTAGGGTCCGTCAGCAAATATGGATAATTCAAAATAGTACAAAGGGGGGACCCTTTGGGTCGGTAGGGGGTTGAATCCCTAAGAAAGAGTGTCCGCCAGGTCAATTGGTACAACTGCGACTCAAGCCTGCTACGATTTTCGGTCGAACGTAAACGTTGCCAAGCAAGCGTTTACCAATTTGCATTGCTCACCTTGAAACTTCTTAAGTTTGATTTTCAGTATCTTTCTCTGGCACTATCAAACCAAATTTTTTTGCAGGCATTTTGACTAGCTAGGAGCTAAATTAGTCAACAAATGGCATAGTAAACAAGACTGCTCGTATCAGGGTTTAAGGTTTATGGACCAATAATAACATTCTAAAATAAAATGTAATAAAACAACATGAAATTTTTTTTTCTAAAATTTGAAATTTTTTATGAAAATCATCCCCCCACACGCCATATTAAGTACAGAGTGAGAGATTTTGCTCCTTTTAACAAACCAATTATTGCATATAATCTTCTTTGAATCAATTTGAAACGAGTTCTAACACGGATTAAACCTCGCTTACGCGTTAATAGCGCGAAATATATCGCGTGTTAATTGTCCCAAAATGGCCGAAATGACCAAAATGGCAATTTTTAAACCCTCATAACTTTACCAAAAAGGATCACAGGTGAAATATCATTTCAAAATTAAGCTCAGGACAACAATAACTTTCGAATGATGTTAGTAAAAATTGATAAAAAAAAGGCTAGTTAAAAAGTCGAAATTTGTCTGAAGAAAAAAAACTCACCCCGAGCACAAATATTCCGTTACTTTTGTTACGAAAGTCGGAACAAAAATGCATTTCTGGGACAGTGTTGAGCGGTTTCGACCAAAAAATGACGTTATTTTTACATGCGCTGTCCCTTCAAAATTATTTGTAATGTGCGCTGAAGCCGCCAATTGAAAGTTTTAAGTTTGGTCCGCCGAAAATGGCTTTTGTAAAACAGTACCAAAATAGTACCTAAATTAGTGCTGAAATTAGTTGTCGCGAAGTTGTGATTTAATATGTGAAGTCTTTTTCGAAAAGACAAGCCCAGCCAGTCCCGTTTCTCTAACATATATCGATCATTACGAGACGAAACTGTGGACTATATGTATGTGTAAGCCCTTGAAATCCAGGTACAATGTCTCCTTTAACATTTTACAAATTCATCGGCACATTCTAAGGAGACGCATGATCGAAAAAGATCAATGGCACATTCTAAGGAGACACATGATCGAAAAAGATCAATAAGAGCAGTTTTATTGCGGAACCCACTTGACTATATAAAAAACATCGGAGGTGAAAAGTCTTTTTTACATTTGAGCTCAGGAAGTCGATATCTTCAATAGGGTATAAAAAAAAATCCATTACGAGGCCCAGCTGTGCATTCTGTGCATTGTATGCTGATTCGACAACAGGCCAAAATCAGATTTGTCGCGGAATTCACATCATTGCCATTTTTCTTTGATCTCCTTTGCTGTTATGGATTCCACAAACAAATACTTAAATACTGTTCCGCTCAAAATTGCTTCAAAAATAGACAAATTTGCGCAATCAACAACCGTTTTTGCAGAATCCAAAACAATTTGTGGAGTCCACAAACAAAGAATAAGACAAGTCTATAGATAAGAATTCCAGCTCTAGATTTTGATTAATCAGTACTGTAAGTTCAGTATTGAACAAAATTCGGAATCCACTTACAGCTTGCGGAATCCAAAACAACTAGCTATATTCGCTTGTTGCGGAATCCGCGACACAACAAATGTGCCGATAAAGTTTACGTTACACTCATAAGTACGCAGAATCCACGGAAGTTTTGTAAGTGCAATCCACTTACATTTTGGAACATGTTTGAAGATTAGTTTTTGGAATCCAGGAACATACAGAAACAAAATTGTGCGCCTATCCAGTGCACAGTGTGGCCTCGTAATGTCGATTGGTGAAAATTGACTGAATAAAAAAACCACACCGAGCATATATGTTCCGTATTCTTCGAAAGTCGGAACAAAAACTGAGACAGAGAATTTTTGTGCTTTGAAGTTCTTTTATTAAGTTAATTTATCACTCACGCAGAAAAGACGACACTAATTTAATTCTATTTTTGTGATTCGATAAGTCACAGTAACCGGCTAACCTTGTACTAGTTATCTTTTTTTGCGAGCGGTTACCAAAAAGCCATATGTTTGTTGCCATATCTTACCTACAATTATAAACACCAAGTTAGACAAGACTGCTCGTATCAGGGCGAAGTCCTGAATGTTCCTACTGCCTTTTAAGGTTTTATGGAGCAGTAGTAACATCAAAAAAATAAATGTAATAAAAGTAAAACGAAAACTTTTTTTTCTAAAATTTGAAATTTTTTAATGAAAATCATCCCCCACACGCCATATAAAGTACAAAAAGATAGACTTCGCTCCTTGTAACAAAGCAATTATGGCAAATAAGCTTCTTTCAACCAATTTGGAACGATTTTAAGACGGATTAACTATCCGCTTACGCGTTAATAGCGCGAAATATATCGCAAGTTAATTGTCCCAAATTGGCCAAAATGGCAATCTTTAAACCCCCATAACGTTACGAAAGATGATCACAGGTGAAATATCTTTTCAAATTTGAGCTCAGGACAACAATAGCTTTCGAATGATACAAAAAAATTCCGTCAAAAATGGCTAGTTAAGAAGTCCAAATTTGTCTGAAGAAAAAAACCCACCCCGAGCACAAATTTTCCGTTACTTTCGTATCGAAAGTCGGAACAAAAAGTGAAACAAATAAGAACTTTTGTCCTCAGAGTATTTTGAATAGTGTCGCTAATTGACTAGAGACTGATACTAAATATGAATCTGATTAGCATCTAATCAACATCGAAGGTCAAATAATCAAAATTATATACAAATCACAACCTTTCCCGTTACGAAAACTTTAAAAGCTACGTACTTCTGATTTAGGAATATATACACCCAAAAATTGTCAATACTGACAGCCATAAAAATGAGAAAACCATTTTGGGTCTAATTTTTGTTGAAATCCTTGTCGGATTCATCTAAAAGATTCTTGTTATCCTGATCAACCGTTGATCAGATAGCACATCCGGTTTCTCAGTTGACCTCGCCCTGAATTATAGATTCAAAAAGTGCGATTTAAAACTGGTTGAATTAGCTTTTGTCGCAACTTCTAGAGATATCGACCGAATAGTACCCGCTGTGGCGTGGGTATCATATGACCACGACAATGTTGTTTCTGCAACCATGATCGGTATTGGTATATGAAGCGAATAAGAGATAGGCATAAAAATTCGAAGTAGATCACCTCTGAATGCATTATGCCAAAATCCGTTTAATCGGAGTGTCGTATATGATCACGACCATGATGTCTGATGGCTCTAGTTAATAAACTCTTTTTCCCCAAAAAATTTTGGAGTCCAACATTTTTCTTGGGTCTGGTCATTCTCTTGAGAGGCTGCTGTGAGACGACCAACAACCTAGTGGGGAGATCTGCGCATATGTCGGCTCAGCTTCGGATCCTGACACATCCATAGGGTCAGACTCTATATGTGTCCAGTTGAACGGTTGACTGTCCAACAGGATCATATCTGAAGAGTGTCGGCTCATGTGATGTTCAGA